ATTGAGGGTTTGGGGGTGATTTCCTCCAAAACTTCCTTCAACAGACATGAGAGGATATGGGTGATGGATGGCATTGAGGGTTTAGGGGTGATTTTCCCCAGAACTCCCCTCCATGGCCAGTGAGGGGACACGGGTGATAGATGGGATTGAGGGTTTGGGGGTGACTTCCCCCCCAGAACTCCCCTCCATGGCCATTGAAGGGACACGGGTGATGGATGGGATTGAGGGTTTGGGGGTGATTTCCTCCAAAACTTCCTTCCCACAGACATGAGGGGATATGGGTGATGGATGGGATTGAGGGTTTGGGGGTGATTTCCTCCAAAACTTCCTTCCATGGCCATTGAAGGGACACGGGTGATGGATGGGATGGGAGCCAGCCCCGGCGCATCCTTGGGCCCCCCACGAAACCCATTCCCACCCCTCTCAGGCCGTCGGGGAGCAGCGTGGACAGCCTGCTTCGCCTGCGCGGCCGCCTGCTGCTGGACCACGAGGCTCTCTCGTGCCTCCTGGTGCTGCTGTTCGTGGACGAGCCCAAGCTGAACACCAGCCGGCTGCACCGCGTGCTGCGCAACCTGTGCTACCACGCTCCCACGCGGGGCTGGGTGGTGCGCAGCCTCCTCTCCATCCTGCAGAGGAGCAGCGAGAGCGAGCTGTGCCTCGAAGCCCCCCGAGGGGCGGCGACCCCGCAGACCCCCGACGAGCGGCCGCAGCGCCGCCCCGCGCCCCGCGGCTCTGCCCCGACCCCGAACGAAGCCCCGCGGGCGTTGGATTTGATGCACCGCGTGGAAGCGCGCAGCTCCGGGCAGCTCTCGTGGCTCTCCGTGTCCATGGACGCGGCGTTGGGCTGCCGGACCAACATCTTTCAGATCCAGAGGGCTCCCGGCAGGAAACACACCGAGAAACACGCCGCCGCCGCCGGCTCCGCCGTCCACATCCACCCGCAGGCGGCTCCCGTCGTCTGCCGGCACGTGCTCGACACGCTCATCCAGCTGGCCAAGGTGGGCTGGGGGGGCTCTGGGGCACATCCTGGGGGGCTTTGGGGGTCCCCATCGGGTCCTGGGGGTTTTGGGAAGCACTAGAGCATCTTAGGGGGCTCTGGGACATGTCCTGGGGGGCTTTGGGGGGTCCCATCAGGTCTTGAGTGGCTTTGAGAGGCTCTGGAGCCTATTGGGGATCTCTGGTGCATGTCTTTGGGTGGCTCTGGGGGGTCCCCATCAGGTCTTGAGTGGCTTTGAGAGGAACTGGAGCATCTTAGGGGCTCTGGGGCATGTCCTGGGGGGCTTTGGGGGCTCCCTATTGGGTTTTGGGGTCTGGACCCCACTGGGAGGGGCTCTGGGGCAATCCTGAGGGTCTCCAAGGGTTTCCTCACCATCCCTGGAGTTGCTTGAAGGCTGCTTTGGAACACGGCCCCATAACCTGTGAAGGAGGGGGGGGGGAGCGCAGAGCATCATTTCTCCCCCTGAAACACCTCTTTTTTTCTTCTGTTTTCTCCCCTTTTCCCCCATTTTTTTCACTTCCCCCCCCCTCCAGGTGTTCCCCAGCCACTTCACCCAGCAGCGCGCCCGTGACCCCGCACCCGACCCCACCACCAGCGACCGCAGCGGAGCACCCAAACCGGGGGGAGGTGGTGGTGGTGGTGGCGGCGGCAGCCCCTGCCCCCCACCCCCCGCCCCGACCACCCCCACCCCCAACCCCCCCGCCCCCGCCGCCCCCGCCATGGGGCTGAGCACCGACTTCTGGGACCTGCTGGTGAAGCTGGACAACATGAACGTCAGCAGGAAGGGGAAGGGCTCGGCCAAAGCGGGGCCGGGGGGCGGGGGTCCCGACGGGGAGGTGGGGGGGTCGGGGCTGGAGGCGTCCCCCCTGGGGCAGCTGATGAACATGCTGTCCCACGGCGTCATCCGACGCAGCGCGCTGCTGACCGAGAAGCTGCTGAGGCTGCTGTCCCTCATCTCCATCGCGCTCCCGGAGGGGGGGAAAGGGGCCGAGGGGGGGGCGGCGACCCCCACCGGGAGCGGGGTGGGCAGCGGCGGCGCGGCGGGGGCAGGAGGAGCGGCGGCTCACAGCCCCACAGCTGCAGGAGGAGCGGCTGCAGGAGGAGCGGCAGCCACGGGTGCTGGGAGCGCCGCGGCTGGGGGTGAGCGC